GGACAAAATAAAAAATTTAAATTTATAAAATTATAATTTGACCACAAATGACCTGAAGGTGACCTAGAAATCGCTTATTGGACAACCGGTGAAAGAATGTTGAAAGTTCGTGTACTTTTGTGATAGGAAATAAAGTTTATATGCCGAAGTTAAATATTCAAAATTAGCATATTTCCAGCTCTTAAATCTGAAGTTTAACTATGCAAAATTAGTATTTTGAATATGCTATTTAATGACAATGTTTAATATTAATATTGCAAGTTAATTTGTATCATTAAAAAATTAGTCAAAACACTAATACTAATTGAAAAACCTAAAAAGTTATTCTGAAGGGCCTTTTTCTTCCCCGATCGCTTCCTAATCAATTAACCATTACAAACTTGTGGTGATGAGCTTCTCTTGTTTTTAGATTTTGAGGGTGCGGTGCACAAAGGAAGGACGAATATAAACTTTAGTATTTGGAAATCGTAATCAAATAAAATGTTTATTTATATCACCTTAAATAGAACTAAAACATAGAAAAAATACCAAAATACGACTTTTATGTTTTTTTCTGAAAATAGGACTTCGCACTGTTATAATGTGACACTGTACATGTACACATTACTATACTTCTTAGTAATGTACATGACCATGTTTGGTAAAGTAAATGCATTCTAAGTCTTATTTCAAGAATAAAAACATGGAAATTTTATTTTGGTATATTTTTAATGGTTTAGTCCTACTTTGGTCTTTCTCCCTTATTTATAACAATGAAACAAATAAATACAAATATTGATGATTTCAATATCATATATCCTGATTTTAATATTTGGGAGGACGCAGTATTAATCTGATTTATGTACGTCGTATTATCTTTTACGAATTTTTTAATTAAAAATCCGGTTTGGGTGGTGCAATCGCACATTAGAATCAATATTTTACACAATTTTTGTTTTTTGTGTTTTCAATGAAATAATACGGAGTATATTCATTTCATAATCTAATTCGCTCCCTCTTGGGTCGGATCTTTTGGTGGAGTTCTTTTCTATCACCACGTTTGGGCCCGTTTTGAAACAGAGTTAGAGTTTAGCTGTTTGAATCAAAATTAGTGATTAGCTGTTTAATTTTTTATCGTTTGGCAGTTTAATATTTAAAAAAGCTAATAAGTTGTAAATTACTAAAATACCCCATTGAACATGTACTCGGATATTTTAAAAGCTAGTTAATTTTAATATTATTCGGGTGATTTTTTTTTACATTTGTTATTATATTTTTTTAATTTTAGATTTGCTAGTTTTAAAAATATTTTTTGAGAGGAAATCATTAAGGAAAAAGTAAATGATTAAATTTTTAAAAAATTCAATCGGAATGCAATATAAATGAACCAATAATTACTCCTTCCCTCCAAAATTTGGTAAGCTATTTACTATTAAGAGAGTCAAATTTTCTTGTTTCTTCTTTTTCTACTTACTCATTTGAAAAAATAATAGTCATGTTACTTCTTGTTTCATAAATTTTTTTATGTAGTTTTTATTTATGTAATTTTTTTTTAAATTCTATCTTAGTTCTCAAATAAAGTATATGGAGGTAATGAAAATAACCTTAGTCAAGAATTATAAATTGAAAGAAGTGATTTTAATTTAACATTGTATTAAAAAATTGACTTAATAAGTTCTTGAAAATAATTAGATATTGAACTTTGTTAAGAAAATAAGAGGTTGACCCTATATCTCACCAAATGTCTTCTATTTTATCTCTAAGCAAGCTCATTTGTGATTCATTGGTGCCTCTGCGATGAGTTGTTGAACTTTCTTCATTATCTGAATCTTTCTCGAACTCATCATCTTCGTCTTCAAATTTTAAAAAATCAAAATCTTTGCGACCAACATATCGTCGTATGTAGTTATGCAAAGTCATACAAGCAATTACTATTAAAACTTATTTAGGAAATGGATATTTTGTCATGATTTTTAACATAAACCATTTATTTTTTTTAAGACCCCAAATGTACTTTCAATTTCACTTCATAAGGAAAAATGAGCCTCATAGAAATCTTTCAATCTCCTTTGGATCCAACAACTACGGAGAACATATTAGTATTATTGAGTTCAGAGCTGAAGGATCTTGCTAGATTTACTTTCCAACCAATGGGAAGGATGGCATTTCTCCTCTCCTCAGCTACCTTTCCTCATTCCTTACCCAGATTATAGGTAAAACAAATAAAGGTGGATGAACCTATCTTGGTGGCTAGCAGAGAACACTGCAAAAGTCATATTGCAAAAGGGACTTCAGGGGTTTCCGTCTCAGATGCAGCCATCTCCAAGACCGCTAGGTTGGCTCATAGTACGGTGGAGTACGGGAAGTGATTTTCTTGAAACTGGACATGACGGGAGATGTATATACGACCCGTGGTGCGATCAAAACACTGATACCCTTTGGAGGAGGAATCATAGCAAAGGAATATGCAAGGTTTGGACCAGGGTTGGAATTTATTAGTGATTTCATGGCGGAGACACGGATAGGATAAACACCCAAAAATTCGAAATATGGAATAGTCTGGAGGTTTTTGAAAGAGAGACTCATAGGGAGATTTGTGATTCAGAGACCGTTTGGGCATGCGATTGATCAGAAAATTCATCGTGGCTAAGGCTTCAACCCAAAATTTTGCTGGGAGAGATGCAGTGCAAAGGAGTGTGACAAGGGTTTCGACTAAGTGACAGTGTTTTCTTTCAGCTACCCCATTTTGCTCAGGAGTGTATCGGCAAGATTTTTGATGTATAACCCCCAAACTTTGTAAGAACAAACCAAAATTTGTATTGACATATTCCCGCCGATTATCAGTTCGAAAGATTTTAATTTGTGCATTGAAATGATAACCATAGATTGAAAACTGAGAAAAGCATCAAATGCATCATACTTACGTTTAAGAGGGTACAACCAACAAAATTTGGTAAAATCTGTTGAAGTTGTGCCCTGATGGCAAACTGTTCATCGTTATGTTGGAACACGGGTTTACGCCTATGTCGTACTAAGCCGTGTTTGTTTTATGACAGGTTTTGATAATGCCAAACCACCGTGACAATAACAAGGTTAAACTGAGCAAAACCAAGGCGAAGGAACATGGCATGATGAACGGAGAACCAAGAACCAAGAATCAAGAGCGAAGAATTAGAATTGCATCGAGTCGGTTTTAATGTGATCGAGACCGGCACAAACTTCCAAATCTTGGCTCTCTAAGCTCAATTCATCAAAACCCTTTTTGCAAATTCAAAAATTTTTTTCATAAGTTTTTAAACCTGGCTAAAAACACTTGGAGTTCGCCCAAACCAAAAACCAAGTCATCCAGCGTTCGGCTTTCAGAAACCGACGTTCGGCTTTCGGTTTTCAGCATTGGTTTTTGGGCATCCGAACCAACCAAGTGGTTTTTAACTTTTTATGATTGGTTTTTGCTTCTGGGCATATTTAAATAGTTCTCCAACAAAAACGCCTCAAAAACCACTTTCCGTTTTTGGTCGTTTAGTGAAAACCATGCTAAACGGCACGAACTTGGTTAGTCGTGGTTTTCAACTAAATGACGTGGTTTTTAAAATATTTTACTTGATTTCTTAGCAAATGCAATAAACAAATGTTTTCAATACTTGATTTTTACTTTGGAGAACTTGTGTTTTTGACATCGGCTAACGGCGTGACTAAACCAACCATGGGTCTGGCTAAACCAGCCCAACAGCGATGTTGAGGTAACCAACAGCGCTGTCTGGCTTGGGTAGCTAAAAACATGGTTTGGCGTTAAGTCTTCCAACAGTGATGTTGGATGTTAGACATCGCTGTTGAGCCAAGGTTGGATTTCCAGAAACTTCTGGAACAGCATTGTAGGCCTCCCTACAGCGCTGTCCAACCTAAGCCAAAAATATAGTGCATTGACAGAAAGTTTCAGGACAGCGATGTTGACCCAGCAACAGCGCTGTCAGGCCAAAACTCCACCTTCAAAGGCAGACCTAAATAGCGATGTTCTAGTATGGAACATCGATGTAGAGACCTGACCGTTGGAAGGAATTTAAGGCTAAAACTTTCCTTGTTTGGAAGTCAACAGCCAAAACAGCGATGTAGAGATTTTAGACATCGCTGTTGGCATGACCGTTGCTTCCCATTTTTCAAAACGCAAGCCTAGAACAGCGATGTCCAAGCCTAGGACAGCGCTGTCTCGGTGAATTTCAACAGATCCAATCTTCATCAAATCCCACAAATTGTGCCAATCACCCCTTAATTACTTTGGTCCGTTGGAGCCTATTTTTCTACTATAAAATGGGGTGTTTGGGTCTGTTTTACACATAACATTACTTCACAACTCCTACTCTTTCATTGCAAATCATTCTTCAATTATTCATAGCTTTTGAGAGCCATTTTTTGTGAAGCTTGTGTTGTGTTCTTGAGCGTTCTTAGTTTACTCATTATCCACTCTAAAAGAGAGTATTGTTCTTGAGTGTTTTTAGTGTTCTTAAACACTTGACAATAGAAGGTATTTCTCTTGTTGTTCGAAGGATGGGCTGTTTCCTTCGAAGGTTCGTTGAGGTTCGTGTGACTCGAATTCTCAAGTTGTACGGGTTTGTTAAGCACCGTTAAGCTTAACGAGGTAGTAGTGTAGCTCGAGAAGGTCTCTCGGGAGGCTGGATTAGCCACAAGTTGTGGTGAACCAGGGTAAAATCGGTGTGCCTCTTACTCTTCTCTTTACTTCTCGTTTATTCATTTTTTATTCGCGCAATTTTTGATCAAACGCTATTCACCCCCCCTCCAGCGTTAGTATCTTATTCTAACAATTGGTATCGGAGCCTAACTCGCGTCCAAACTTAACCGTTTGAGAGTAAAGCGATCATGGGCTCTTCTTCTAGAAATCTCTATGCAGGAATTGGAGAAGGTCAATCAACTTCTAGGCCACCACTCTTTGATGGCACCAACTACTCTTATTGGAAGGAACGGATGAGAATCTACATTCGTTCCACCAACTTCCAATTGTGGTTGGTGATCAAAAATGGCGAAGAAATCCCTATGAAGAAAGTGGGAGAAACCACGGTCCCAAAGACCAAAAACGAATTTGATGCCGAGGACATCAAGAAGATTGAAAACTATGCAAAGGCCATCAATATGCTATATTGCACGGTCAACCCCGATGACTACCAAAAGATCTCCTGTTGCACAACCGACAAGGAGATGTGGGACAAGCTTGAAGTGACGTACGAAGGTACCGATCAAGTTCGCGAAGCCAAGATCGATTTTCTCACCCAAGAGTACGAAATGTTCCGGATGAAAGAAGGTGAGAAAATTGATGACATGTTCGACCGTTTTTCAAAGATCATCAACGACCTCCATGCTCTCAAAAAGACTTACACCAACAAGGATCTCGTGAGGAAAATCCTGCGAAGCCTCACACCCGAATGGAGGTCAAAAGCCGATGCAATCTATGAATCCATTGGAGTCTCCAACGTCACCATCGATAGGCTAAGAGGTTGTAACGCCCCGAAATCTGGCCCAAAAGAATTAATTAAATTGTTAGAGCAATTGATTACGAATTGGGCCCAATAAGGGGTTAAAATTATAATTTGGATTCTAAGCCCAACTTTTATGTCATCTCGTAGGAAATATTTTTGTGATCGCGTCGGTTCAGACGGCTCGCGAATCGGAGTTATGGAACTCAAGTTATGACCAT